GAAATTTAAAAAGAAAGACAATATATAAAAATATATATAATGTATATACTCCACCAGGCTCTCTGAGGAGAAATGTGGCATTAGGATTGGAGGAAGATTCATCAACAATCTGTGTTATGCAGATGACACAGCCCTGTTTGCTGAAACTTAGGAGGACCTCAAGCACTTGCTGCAGAAGGTCAAGGACTGCAGCCTTCAATATGGATTGAAGCTCAAAATCAAGAAAACAAAGATTCTTACCACTGGGTCAACAGATGGTGAAGAGCTTGAGATTGTTAATAGCTTTAGTTTGCTAAGCTCCACAATCAACACTCTCGGCACCAGCAGCCAGCAAATTAAAAGACTAGGAAAAAATTAAAAGATTGGGAAAGTCTGCTGTTAGAGACCTCTCCAAAATACTGATAACCAATGATGTGAGTATGGAGACTAAAATGCACCTAATACAGGCCATGGTCTTTGCAAGTACTTACTGTGCATCAGAAAGCTGATAGGAGAATGGATGTCTTTGAGCTATGGTGTTGCAGAAGAGTATTGAATATACCACGGACTGCAAAGAGAACAAATACATTCATCCTGGAGTGGGTGAAACCAGGCTGCTCCTTGGAGGCAAGGATTCTGAAGCTTCATCTGACTTACTTTGGACATGTTGCAATGAGGGACCAATGCTTGGAGAGGAACAGTATGCTTGGGAAAGTGAAGGAACAGTGCAGGAGAAGACCTTCGATGAGATAGAATTGATTCAGTGACTGGGGTAATGAGGGTGGGTGTGTCAGAGACAGTGAGATAAGTACAGGAAAGAGCAGAGTTTAGGGCTGTTGTACATAGGGTTGCTATTAATCGCAGATGACTCAACAGCACATAACAACAACAACAACCTGTACTTAACCAGAGTAAATCATTGGGAATTTGAGAATTCTAATATTAGATAAAACAGATACAAATAAACAAAGCAAAAACAACCCTCAATTGCAACTTTTATAAAAGTTAACTATAGTACTTTGAGAAAGAAACCTAGGAAAAAATGTACAGGTCAGGGCTTGTTGATAAGTGTTTACATACAACACCAAAAGTACAGTCCAGAAAAGAAAAATTGTACAGTTGGACTTCATCAAATTAAAATTTTTTGCTATGTGAAAAATTCTGTGAAGAAAACAAGTAAAAAATCTCCAAACTGAGAGGAAATATTTACAAAGCATGGATCTGGCAAAGAATACATGTTTAGTACAGAGAAAGAATCCTCAAAACTAATCAATAAAACAAACAAGCATTCCAATTAAAGAATTGGCAAAGACACAAGCATTTTACCAGAAAGGTTATATAGATGGTAAATAAATGTGTGGAAAACGTTCAGTATCATTAGCAATTAGGGAAGTACAATTTAAAACCACAATGAGATATGACTATCCACCTATTAAAGGAAATTAAAAATAAAGCAAACCAAACAAAATTAGTGACAATCCTAATTGTAAGCAAGAATGCAGGAATTGGTTCTCTCATAAATCGCTGATATTGTGGTTGTTGTTGTGTACCGCCGAGTTGGAACAGACCCATAGCTGATCCAACGCAGCTTTTTCAGAGGCAGTAACTTGGACAGGAAGAGATTGCCCATTTTTCTCCTCCATCTTTCTCCTGCAGAGCAGCTGATGGATTCAAACTGTATTCCTTTGGGTTGGAAGTGCAATTCCTTACCATTAAGTCACTAGAGCTCTCTGATGGGCTACCAGGACTTTCCTGATAGAAAAGCCAAGTGCTACTACTACTCTGGAATGAAGTTTAGAACATTTTTATAGAACAAATATAAATAAAGTGCTGTCAAGTTGATTCTGACTCATAACAACCCTATAGAACAAAGTAGAATTCCCCCTTCCAGTTTTCAAGACTAAATCTCTAAAATTCTTCCTGGAAGAGGCTGATAAATCCAATCCATCAATCCTTCCTTGGCAGTTACTAGTCACACTTTGATCATTGTACCATAGGGCTTTTTATTTACCTACCAGATGATCCAACAATTGAACATTTAGACATTTATACCAGAGAAATGAAAGCTTATGTCCATTCAAAATCCTGTACATGGACCTTTATAGCAACTTAATGAGTATTAGTCTTAAACTGGAAATGACCAAAGTTGTTGTATAAGCAACCGTTGCTGTTGTGTTATGAGTTATCTGAGACTCATAGCAACTCTGTGTACAACAGCTCTAAACCCTGCTCTATCCTGTGCCAATCTCACTGTCTCTGACACCGATAAGCAATGAAAAGAAACAGAGTCAATATACACAACTCGTGTCAATCTCAAGGTATTGCAATAAGTGAGGGGAGGGGGAAGCAAAATGTATATATTATATGATTCCATTTATGTAGTAGTCTCAAAATGATAAAACTATATATTATTGTTGTTGTTTACCGTGGAGTTGTAACCAACTTATAGCTGGCCCACTAGTAGGTTTTTAGAGGTAGTAAATTGCACAGGAGGAGATTGCCCATCTTTCTTTCATGGAGCAACTAGTGGATTCGAACCATTTATCTTTGCATTGGCAGTGAAACTCCTTACCACTAAGCCATCAGAGCTCCCTAGAACTACATAAAAAGAGAACAAATTAGTGGTTGCCAATGGTTAGAGTAAGGCTTCCTAAAGGGGGGAAAGGATTAAGTGAGATATAAAAGGGTAAGAGAAAGGAGAAATGAACGGTTATGGACCAGTTCTCTATCTTCATTGTGGTCTTTCTCTGACTGCTGTCATGTCAGAACCAATTCATAACTGACTCTCCCGCAGGTTTTTGGAGGCTGTGAATGGCACATTTACAAAATGTTCATCTTTCTTTTATGGAGAACCTGGTGAATTAGAACTATCTGCCTTTGGGTTTGCAGGACAAGTCATTATGTGCTCCTAATTAAAAGCATCTCTGCAAAAGAAGATGTGGCATGCTGGGGGGATCTTTCCAGAATGCTCTGTGGCATGCTGGGGGGATCTTTCCAGAATGCTCTGTGAGAGGCTGGGAAGCGACTGCGGCCTGAGCTGCACACAGTGAGGTGCTCCTTCCCGCTCCCCTCCACACCAGCCTCGGCCACCTCAAGGGCAATAGAAAATGGTGAAGGAAACCACTTACTGTGATGTTTTCAGGGTCAAACCCAAGAAGAGTTGAAAAAAGTTTATAGGAAACTTGCCTTGAAGTACCACCCTGATAAGAATCCAAATGAGGGTGAGAAGTTTAAACAGATTTCCCAAGCTTATGAAGTACTTTCTGATGCAAAGAAAAGAGAATTTATATGATAAAGGAGGAGAACAGGCCATCAAGGAGGGTGGAGCAGGTGGTGGTTCTGGCTCACCCATGGACATCTTTGATATGTTTTTCAGAGTCGGTGGAAGAATGCAGAGAGAAAGGATAGGAAAAAACGTTGTCCATCAACTCTCAGTAACATTACAAGATTTAGATAATGGAGCAACAAGAAAACTAGCTCTGCAGAAGAATGTGATTTGTGACAAATGTGAAGGCCGAGGAGGTAAGAAAGGAGCAGTAGAATGCTGTCCAATTGCTGAGGTACTGGAATGCAAATAAGAATTCATCAGATTGGACCTGGAATGGTTCAACAAATTCAGTATTTGTGCGTGGAATGCCAGAGCCGTGGAGAACGGATCAGACCTAAAGACAGATGTAATAGCTGCAATGGAAGGAAGATAGTTCGAGAGAAGATTCTAGAAGTTCACATTGATGAGGATATGAAAGATGGTCAGAAGATAACATTCCATGGTGAAGGAGACCAAGATCCAGGACTGGAGCCGGGAGGTAATATCATTGTTTTAGATCAAAAGGATCATGCTATTTTTACAAGACGAGGAGAAGACCCTTTTATGTGTATGGACATACAGCTGGTTGAAGCCTTGTGTGGCTTCCGAAAGCCAATATCCACTCTTGACAACTGAACCATAGTCATCACCTCTCATCCAGATCAGACTGTCAAGCATGAGAAGATTAAATGTGTATTAAATGAAGGCATGCCAATTTATCATAGACCATATGAAAAAGGGAGCCTAATCATTGAATTTGAGGTTAACTTTCCCAAGAATGGCTTTCTCTCTCCTGAAAAGCTCTCTGTGCTGCAAAAACTCCTACCTGAGAGGAAAGAGGGAGAAGAGACAGATGAAAAGGTTC